CTGCGTTCCTGAACAATTTTAACTCTTCTGCCTGATTTGCCAAAATTCGCAAATAATTGATATGTAATTTTTCACGGTAGATATAAAAAAAAGTTACAACTGTTTACCCACCGTTCAACCGGGGAATGTGCATTACGTAATTTTTCTCTACCACTTTTCAACCGGTGGCTGGGCATTACGTCATTTTTCTCTACCACCGGTAAATCGGTGGTCAGGGTCTCATTTCATTTTTACAGTTGAAATGGCTAGATGTTACCGTAAGTTCTATGCTATTTTTTTTTCTTTAGCCTTTTTCGTTTTTGAAACTTTCTTTGGTATCTCGACTTCACAATTTTCAGAGCAGCTCCAAAATGTCACTGTTGAAATTACTAATTGGAATCGTTCTTTTCTAAGTTGATTCTACCGCATTTCTCGTCTGCTGGACCCTATTCTGACATAATGCTTCCCTGTCATCTACGATCGTCAAAGATTTAAATATAATATCTAACCTCACCTTCTGGCTACTTGAATCTCTTTCTTTTTTTAATCATCTCACCCCAAGCAAGGCAAAAAATCCACTAAAATGCAAGAGCGTTACTGAGTGTGAAAGAATATGAGATAAAGAAAAAACTTTATTAAGGAAAGAGAATAATAAACGAACAGGCACTACCACATTGGTAGAGACTAGGAAAGTGGTTCCTTTGGTCTATAAACGCTGAAGCGGCAGGTGTGAACGAAGATTAAGATTTTGGTTTCACCTGGTGTTTCCTAAAAGGTACAAAAAGAATCGATTCTGGATTTTACCAAAGAAGAAACCTCCTTCATTGCCTTCTCTTTTTCTTTCATTTTCTGTAACCGATATCTCAGTGGCTGTTATCGCTTTGCTTGGTATGCAAAGTGCTTGATAATAATAATAATAAAAAAAATGTAGCCTAAAAAAAATAGGATGGACCAGTACTTATTCTTTTGTCCGTTTTGTTTATTATTGTTGCCGTTTCGCTCTTTGTCGCTGGGGTTATTAATCTGCTTTCCGCCCCAGTGACGTAGAAAAGGACTTAGGGAGGCTCTGTCCGGCGTACATCAGAATGAAAGATCTTTTGAATCTCTGACAATGCAAACGAGAGCGTCGCCATAAATTACATCGGCTTTCTGACCTTTTTCCCGCCAAGTATTCAGCGCGATTTTATTAAACACACAGAGCTTTGCTTCTTATCACGCTGGTGACAGAAGGTATTAACTCGACCTCCCTGCCGACATAACAAAGATTTGCCTTTCACTGATGTTTCTGATAGCTTCTTTCTTACACTTTGATACACAAACTGTATTCTTGCTACCTATCACTTTCAGTTCTCTTCTGTCAAATAATCTATTGTTATTATTACTTAAATTTTTATCCAATTAGAAACCGCTTAGGTATAAAAAGAGATCAAATGAAAACAAAGTTGCTTATTGCTCCTCCCACCTCGACTTGAAGAGGAACGTACATACGATCCATTGCTAGGATGCATGCAAAATGGTAGACTCTCTGTAACGCTTCAGGAATACCTGACCCATCCAGATATCCATTAACTTTCCAAGAGCCAGATCAGGCCAAGTCAGTTATGTGCCATGAGTGATACACGCTTAGGCGATCATGTATCTTTCGTATTACGTTGCCATTTCTTTCTGCGGTAAACCAGTTGCAATCAAGTCTATAGGACCTGGAAGGTCCTGTTATTTACCCATAGTTGGGGAGAGAAGAAAAGGTTTCATACATTTCCCAAGAATATTAGCACGTAAGTGTATGTAATGGATTTGACTAGAATTCGAACTCGGCTCTCCTATTCCTCAATCCGAGCGGCTATCCATTACTCCACAATGCCTCCTTTTTATTATAAATTATAATAAATTGTTTTGTTTGTGTTAATAAATAAAACAGGGGAGAAGAAGAGGATTCATGCCTTTACCAAGGGAATTAGCACGTAAATGTATTTAATGGATTCGACTGGAATTCGAACTCGGCTCTCCGATTCTTCAATCCGAGCGACTATCCATTACTCCACCGTGGCTCTCTGGCTGGAGCTGACCTTTCCTTGATAAGAGTCCAAAGGTATCTCCGAGCCCTTGTGGGTAACGAATTATTGTCCACCCTTCAACGTCTCTCCCACAGTCGGGATATGGCAAGCCTGTTGCTGCTCTGCTGATAATTCCACGGAAAGTGCTCGGACGAACGACATTCCCTAGTCCTGCCAATCAAAACTTCACGGCGAGAACGCGCAATGCCACTGGCATAATAGTAAACTATCTACATTCCCTCCGTGCCCCACTCGTACAGCTTCTTCCCGCAAACCCCTGCCTCGTGGAACCGCCTCGCAATAGGACATTTTCCCGCTCACTCCAATGTAATCATGTTCAAGGCTAGATTTAACCGTTATGTTCCACTCCTATACACACAAACGGACTCCTAACGTAATCCTCTACTTCGAGTGACCCTCGGGCCTTGTAAATAATAAAAAAAGATTCCTTCATATTCTACCTTTATTTTTTTTCATTAGTTTAGTGATCTCCGCAAAAACGTGATACTAAGGTTTAAAATTATTTTTTTTTTAATTTTCGTAAATTGATCCAGGATTGAACCCACGGCGACGAAATGGAAGTAACAAATCAAATAACGAATGCGCCACTGAGAAAAAAAAACCCGATTCCAATGGTTTCGATATTCGGTACCGTAAGATAATGAGAAAAATAATAATAAATAAGCTTACGGCCATATCACGTTCAGACACCAGTTCTCGCACGATCATTGAAGTTAAGAAACGTCGAGGCTGGACTGTACGTAGATGAGTTACGTCTTGAGTATCATCATCATCATCCCCTTGACTTTTGTAATCGCAGGGCTGATTCGAATGCAGAAGTCACACTAACTATTTTCCACAACGGTCTATTAACGGCAGCCATTAGAAAATCTGCTACAGTCATACCTGTTCCTTTTTTGACATTGTATGACCAATTTTTGATTTAGAGCCTTGATTTGGTATACGAGGTGCTATAAAATTAGATGAGCGGGTGATGTGATAGATGACAAATCTGAATTGTTAATCAGTTCCCATTCCAGTTGGGTTCGCTTTTGGAGAGTGAGCCATAAAGTTCATAGGCTGACTATGAACGAGTGATACTAGAATTGTGAAATCTTGCACGCATTAATTTCAACTCATTATTAATAACTACATTGTTTCTTTCCATCTACGGTGGTGGGCTGAAACTTCAAAGGCTGACTATGAAGGAGTGACGCTAGAACTGTGAAACCTTGCATGCATTTATTTCAACTCTTATTATTAATAACTGCATTATTTCTTTCCATCTACGGTGGTGGGCTGAAACTTCACAGGCTGTCTATGAAAGAGTTGTGCTACAATTGTAAATGTTTGCATGCATTAATTTCAACTCTTCTTATTAATAACTGAATTATTTCTTTCCATGTACGGAGGTGGACTGAAACGTTCATAGGCTGGCTATAAAGGAATGTCGCTAGAGCTGTGAAATATTATATACATTAATTTCAGCTCTTCTTATTAATAACTGCATTTTTTCTTCCCAGATTAACTGGCATCTGACTGCTTGAAGAAGTCTGAAATGTTATTAGAAGCGACTTCTCGTGAAAATGAAAAAATGTCATTGTTGTGTTATCAGTTAGCGATGGATCGTATAAACGATTTTCACTTGATGTCAGGTGGGTGTTTTAGATCCAATCACGGAAATTATATTAAAAATCTCCTGCCAAAGTTCGCAACGGAGAGTGAGAAGAAGTGACGAAGCATAAACTACAAGAAGACAGAATGCTTGATCACCAGTAAAAGGATGTGCCCAAAATGCGATTTGCAGGTCGGGAACATTAGAATCAAGCAGACCCGGAAGATTAAATATCTGGTAAGAATCTTGGCAGAAGACGGTAAATGCGACACTGAGATCTGTAGACGTGTTGGGATTGCCAATGACGCATTCCAAAAGCTGGGCAGAGTATTGCGAGACAGGAGGATATCTTTGGTAACAAAGAAAAGAATACTGGACTGTTACGTGACATCTGTCCAGCGAATGTTGGACGATTTCCTCAAAGATGAAGAAGAGACTCGAGGCGACAGAGATGTGGTTCTACAGAAGGATGCTAAGGATATCATGGACTGAGCATGTGAGCAATGATGAGGTCTTAAATAGATTGCAAACAAAGAGGAGGCTTATAAGTCCATATCAGGAAGAGGCCGCTGAAGTTTAAAGTGACACATAATAAGGAAGGAAGGCTTGGAGAATCTGATACTCACGGGTCGAATAGACGGTGAGACAAGAAAAAGCAGCGCGTGACATACCTGACGAGGTTGAGCAGGTGGATGACAGGTCTGGGGTAGGAAGCAGAAGGAAGGAACTTGCTGAGAGCTGCAAAGGATAGAGGGAGAAGTGGAGAGCCATGATCGCCTACGTCCTGAAAGGACATGGCATATAAAAAGAAAGAAAAGTCCCTCAAATCACGGCCACCCGTTCACCGTGACTGCCGGTAGTTTGGAATCTGATCAGCGATAATGTAATGCAATTAGTAGGTGTTCTCTAGTTTGAGTGGCATATTAAGAGTTTTATTGGTACTGACCAGTCCCGACCTTGCTTAACTTCGGTCATATTACTTTTGTATAAGCGACTTCAAGCTACGTTCTTGTAATTGTGATGCACGTTACTCTTATTGTCTTCCGGTTACCATTCAAACATATCCAGATAAATGGCGAAATGATTTGATGACCCCCGGGCTTAATTGACTAAGCATGATTAACCGTGGATTAAGGACCGCGATTTATAATAATTCTTCACCAGTAGCAGATCTAAGTTTCGCCCTCGCTTCAATTATCAGGATTCTTCCGTATAATTGGCTACTCTCGAAGAGCCGATGCCAATCTATTCATAACTGTATCTTAATATCGATCTGTACTGTACTAGTTATCCGTTGATCAAACATTCACACTCCCTTAGTAATTGTCTTACTCTTCATAATAACCGGCTTATGGTCACATTACGCTGAAATAACTGTTCCCGTAAGATCGCAAAAGTTAAGCAATGTTGAGCCTGGTTAGTACCGAGATGGGTGACCGCTTGGGAATACCAGGTTCTGTAAATTTAGGTGTGGGGCTGGTGTAGTCGATAATGGCACGGAATTGTTAATCGGAGAGCTGAGTTCCAATTCCCGCTGGGTTGCGTTATATTCACTTACGCGCAAACACCTTTGGGAAAGGCATGGATCCACATTTCCTGCCCCCAGCTATGGATTAATTTTCAAAATTTGTATTACTAAACCATGATTATCTCCCCTGACTATCCGAAAAAAAAATTATGACAATCTAAAAATATTTTCTCGCTTTAAATAACCCGTAAAAGTTTGTAAGCAGAAGAAAAGGAATTAATCAATCATTTTTCATATGCCACTTTCACCTGCTATTTCTTACACACACACAAACGCACAGGTACATACACACGCACACAAGCGCACATACACACGCACTCATGCACATAAACACAGACGCACATAAACACACGCACATTTGCGTACGCACACACGCAAATACAGACGCACATACACATAAACACAAGCACATAAACATACCCACGCACATACACACACGCATATACACATACACACACAAGCGCGCACATACACACAAACACGCACACGCACTCATATACACATACACTCATATACACATTCACGAACATAAACACGCACACGCACATACAAACACACATAAGCACACACACATATACACATTCACGTACATAAACACACATGCAGGCACGAACATACAAACACACATAAGCGCACACACTTAATGGTCTGTTTTTCTTTAAATTATATATATATATATATATATATATATATTTGTGTGTGTGTGTGTGTGTGTGTAAAACGTCGAGGTATACTTTAATTCATGATCGAGATTTGCTTTTTGAATATAAATTTCCTACTAAGATCAGTTTGACTATCTGATGAAGACATCACATTAAAATGAAATGATGGTGTTTCGCACTTAAAAGTGACAACGATATGTAGCAATATGATGAAAGCATTGTGATTGCAGTTACTATTGAGTTAGTATGAAATCGAATGGAGATAATAATAAGAAAATTAAAAGACGAGAACATGGTTGAAGTTATATTAACGACTAGCAGCATGACCCGGCGTTGCCCGTGCTTGATTATAAAATCGTACGACTCATACAGCAATCCCTATCACTTGACTTAAAATATTTTTGCCCTTCCTTGCCTTTAAAGGAGTGCCCTTTGCCGTGCTGATGTTGCTACATGCCTTACTTCTTGCCTATTTCACACTGCCAATTTTTTTCTAAGCTCTATACTAAACATTAAATCTGTTACGAAAAAAGAACTCAACAAAATGAACACAAAACGATCAGCTTTAAAAAAAGACTCGTAACTGGAAAAACCGAATGAAAAAAGAATCTTAACAACAAATACTTTTTCACACCCAACCCAGTTCTGCGGAATCACAATCAACGTTGATTTTAAGCAAGCGAATGAGCCAATTCGAGTAAAGTGCCATGCAGATTTAAATTTTTTCCCACTTGTGACGAATGCAGCTATCGATTTTTTTTTTTTGCATGCTAGTAATCCATTGGTTCGCTAGTTAACATTCGTGTCAGTCAGCTGTTGGCTCTCACGCTGGCCAATAGAATCTTTCTGCTCATTCGTGGCAGCCAGCTATAGGCTCTCACTCTGGCCAGTACAAAATGGCCGCAAACTACATGAAAAGTGCCGTAGGAGCATTAAAAAATCGATTATTTCCACTATCGATGAGAGTTGGGAAATGCAACGTCTGTCTTGGCCTTCCCGCTAACTTGGAACATGTGCCTGTAAATTTTGGTGCAAATCCGTCGAAAATTGCGGCCGTGCATTCATTACTCACACACACACATCCTGCCTTTTATAGAGAGAGTTTACATAAGAGTTACGCAGAGGTTTTTTATTGATAACATATAGATTGAACATCTAGCTTAGAACCGCGTAGGCTGGACTTTAGTTTACTCTTTTCTGTTCAGATGATAGAATACGACAACATTTCTGCTACGTTTTATCAGACTGTAAATATTAAACAAAACAACGGTCTGATGAAAAGATAAACGAAAACAAAATTGAATTGAAAATAGGTGGATGAAAAAATATCGAAAGCCAGGCTTCTGGGGAAAAAAAAAGCCTGTTTCATTTTGTTCTCAAAGTAAATTAGAATAAATAAATAAATAAGTTGAAAACAGAATCTAGGAAGCTTAACAAAAACATGAACTAAAAGAAAAACTCACAGAGGAATATTGCTGCCAATGGACAGGAAGTGTTTATACGCGAATACGCAATCGTTTTCGTGCGCATGCGTTACTGAATTTAAATTACTCAGTGTTCTTTCTTTTTTTTCCTTACTTTTGCCGTTTTTTTTGTTTGTTTTTTTTTGATAAAGAGATTTTGTTGTTTAAGGTTTTGATAATGTTTATGATTATTATAGCTTTCATAATATTTTTCTTCTGGCTTCTGCTCCTGTTTATTAGTTTATTAAACAAGAGCCTCTATTTTTTCTACGAAACATAAACGATTTTCTTCTCCTTTCTCGACACGACCTCGTGTTATTCTGCTCTCTAACTTGCCGGCAAATAATTGCATCCCAAGTATTACCTTTTACTTGTTCTTGCAATTCAACTCTCGTCCTTTATTCACCTTTCTTTCTCTCGATTCCAGTCCCTGACATTTGCTTCTTACAATGCCTCATTCGGTACTGTTTGGATAATCCACTGATGCGTTTGTCAACGCGAGGCTCTCAAGGGAATTATACATAAAATGCGTCGTATTCCAGACGCTGAAATATTCAATGACTTTATGAACATACATCCAAATATTTCAAGTCTTTGCATACATATATTACTGCAACTCTATTTCCTTTTTCTCTATTCTCTTTAGCACTGTCAATACCAACTTTTATATATATATATATATATATATATATATATATATATATATATATATATATATATATATATGCCAACTTAAAACAAAAAGTAAAATATTTGTTAAAACAGAACGTATTAAAAGTGCTTTGATACAAAGACGGAAGATCACACTTGCAGAGCTTATTAATATTTTGAAAAATAAAAGGCTTGAACCAAATCAAAACTTTAAAAAAAACATTCGACCTTTATCGATCTCCTTTAGGTGGTTTTTTGTATTTCAGAATTTTTTTCAACTACACGGACCTCAACAACAAGAACACACACACACACACACACAAACATATATATATATATATATATATATATAGCTATCTCTGATATTGAGCGCATAGAATATATAAATAATTATATATTATATATAAATATTTAATTATAATATATAAATAATAATAATAATAATATATATATATATATATATATATATATATATATATATATATATATATATATGTAAAAAGGATATAAGAGACCCGGATATAAGAGAAACCCGGATATAAGAGAGATTTTTTTCTGGTCCCAAATTAAAGCATGTGTTAATGTATATAAAATAGACCAAACCTGGATATAAGAAAACCCGGCTATAAGAACTTCTTCTCCGGTCCCGACAACTCTCTTATATCATATGTTTACATTATATATATATATATATATATATATATATATATAAATATTTTCACACAACACATATATATATATATATATATATATACGAGAACTCAAAATTTTCAGAGACAGATGAAACTTATGCATAAAAGAAAAAATCTTCATAATCAAACATAAAGATCTAGACTTATTACTAAATAGACACAATGAACTAGTTTTTAAATGCCGACACAAAAACAACCTAAACCTAAGTAAATACATTGAGAAATAATTATATAGGAAGAATAACATTGAATGACTTTTGTTATTTTTGCTTTTGGATATATTACTATGCACGCATGAACGCCAACACATGACTGTATATATATAACTATGGTATTGTACTTGAACACTGATACACCTGTTGATATGTACCTGTATATGTTTTTATATGGAAAGAGATGCATACACGGGTTTTTTTTTTTTGGGGGGGTTATGTGAGTGTGGATGTGTATAATTAGATGTGTACCTATACGTCTTGCCATAGATATGGAAGAGCGGGTAATATATGTGTAGAGATATGTATAATTATACGATTTGGGTATTTATAATGTACTTATATATTGATATAGTCATCGAATGCAGACATAAGTGGGTGTATGGGTGGACATGGGTATAGAGATATGTATGTGTGTATGTATGTGTACGTGTATATGTATGCATATGTATATATGTGGATATATTGCATATTATATATGTGTATATATGTATGTGTATATATGTATATGTGTATCTATGTATACATATATGTGTGTGTGTATATGTGTATATGTGTATGTGTATATATGTGCAAGTGTATATGTGCATATGTATGGATGTACATATATGGGTATTTGTATGTGTATTGCATGGATGTATATGTATATAGATATACATATTACTTTATGTGTGTATATGTATAAATGTAAGTATAAGTGTATGTGTGGATATGTATGTAGATATGTGTGTATGTGTTTCTCTGCAGGTGTTTATGTGTAGATATGGGAATATACATATAGTTTTCGTGTAGATGTGTGTCCATGTGTATATAAGAACTCATAGGTATATAGTAAGATATAGGTATGTGGATATGGATAGGGGTTCGGATATGTGTAGAAGTGTGTATATGTATGGATATATAAAAGATTGTAAAAGAAGGACCTAGTTTTCTCCTAGTAATATTTTATCCAAATCTCACCTTTAATATTCTCCAATTGGAAGTGAGTTTTAATAACACGGGGTTAAAGTTTAAATTGGTAATTTAATTTAAATTGAAATATACTACCCTTTAACAATCATTATTGACGATAAAGTTATTTAAATTGGCAGAACCTTAGATAATTATGTAGGTATCTTAAAAAAGTCACGAGTTTAATCTATGAACAAAACTCAAACGAATAGATGTTAACTGAATAAGAAACTAGAAAAAGTTATATGTATAGATATATAGAACATTGTAAAAGAAGGACATAACTTTCTGGTAGAAATCCT